ATTTCAATGCAGACTTGCACTCAGAGAAAATATGTTTGGAGTGCTCAAAACGGATTTCAGACGACGACTGAAACTGGATTAAAGGAAGGCAGATTCTCTCAATTGCCTGCTGAATGTTTAAAGTGCAAAAATGATATATATTGTTGGTATATCAAAAAGTTTTGGTAAAATAAACATATCACCATCGTGATTCTTTTGTGTGTGTGAGTGTTATTTGCTAGGTTCAACGCTTTTCAAAATAATAACTAGATTTTGGAACAGCTACGAAATGTCAATGAGAGGATTCATAACTACTGATTCATAATACCTTATTAAGTTATGCGATAGTTCCTTTTTAACATCATCGGAAGTTCAATAGGAACCATCATACATTTACTTGAGGCAGCTAACGTTTTAAATCATTCAGTGAAAATGACAGTCGAATAAAAAACTAAACAAAGAGGCATTGTTTTAATTTTCTTTATTTAATATGCATTTTGAGTAACAAACAATCATTTCAAAGAATCTATTATTGCCTCACTACGAAAGGCATCCTGAATCTAATACTTAACGCTCCAAGGATATTTTCTGTTTAGATTCATTGTTAAAGTATATTGAACCAAAACAGCGTCTCAACTCTTAAATTATCTTTATATTTGACTCAGATCAAAGTGAATTTCAAAGGGAAAAACGGTAATAGTTATAATACAAAATAATAATAACATCTTTTTCGTACAAAGAGGTATTTTGTTTTTAATAATTCATACAGGTTGTTCACCACCCTGATATATTTTTTGATTCTTTGTCAAAAATGAAGTAAAAACATTATTATTCATCAGGGGTCGCAAATTAATATTTAAGCGAGTAAGAACCAAACACGATATCGAAAATTCCTCATATCGCGTGTGAGAAAGATGGAAACCGTTAAAACCAAAACCTGTTTGTTTACGGGAAGGAACAGAGAGAAATTGAAAAGTGATACTGATCGAAATATACTTCATATTTTGATAAGGGCTCTAAAAATTTAATGTTAACATTTTTATTGATATGTTAAACAAGGCCGGTCCCAAAAGTAAGGCCTCCTATTTTTTTAGAAACATAAAATCAGTTTATTTCTATAGTATTTATAAGGGATAAACCCTTGCCTGTTTTATATAAATTATGTATATCTACATATTTTGCCCCATCGGTTGATGCATTTTGTAAATGACAGTTTTTTTTTACCCAAGTTCTATTAGTCCTCCACCATATATGAGATAAAATATTTGATTTCGTTTTTTCCCCGTCATTGGGGCTGAAATGTTTGTAGTCGACGCTAATGAACCTTCCACCTGATGGAACCACAAAAAACTTTGACAGATACTGTGAAACGATGATGAAACTCAGGTAGGCTTTTACAAACGGGAGAAGAATTGAGCGACTGTGTAAGCTAACTCACATCAAATCTTCGCTCTTTTGCAACAAACATCATCCCTTCACAACCCTTCAAACATCATCACATCACAGGTTATACGGAAAGTGGTTCAGGACTTTCACAAGGTGAATGGTATGACATGGGCATCATTATCAACCAGCCTTGGTCTAACACCTAGATTTTATTATTAGGGCTCTATCTTTTCATGGCCATGGTAAAAATGCCACGTAATTTTGATCCTGGTCAGACGAAGTGGATTGTACCTGAACTGGCACCCCTCTCTCTCCAAACTTCCTAGCCAGAAACAACGAGATGACTTTCAACCTCGACATATTTAACAGGCACCTTGCTGCGCATACATGTTGGTTGTTTTGTCAGCCCCCAGGATCGAACTCACTACCCCCAGCTTTAAAACCAGCAGTGTGAGTAACGCCTTATAACATGAGCACCGTATAACATGGTCCGAAGAGCACTGTCACAGTGTCTACAAAAAAGCATCAACCGACCGATTGGAGAATTATACTATAGAAAAATAGACTAAATTAAAACTTTCAAATGAAGAAGAGTATTATAGAATATAAACGGATTTTTATATTTGTAAAAGAATAGAAATTTTACTTTTTTTCCGTTGAAAACTCTGGTGTAAGAAAATAGCTGCGTTTGTATCAAAATTACAGAATTAACTCTTATTCTGTTTCTCCTTAAGTTTTCATTTTCTTTAATTTTATCAGTAAACCTTCATATTCTTTATCTATTTCTATAGCTCTATATTTTATCTATTTCTAACTATAATGAATCCACGAAATAAGAAAAAGAAATTATTGTTTATCATCACAATCTCTATACCTGTTACTTTTATTAAGTTATAAAATCAAGAAGAAAAAATAGACTTTAGCTATTTATTAAAGCTGTACCCAGTGTGGGTACCCAGCCGCAACCGGTTAACTGAAAAATATTGGATTTATTACTCGGGCGGATATTATAACATTTATGCAAAACAATATAAAAACCATGTAATTTTCTATAGAAAAGATGTCTTATAAGATTATATTTTAAGTAAATTTGCTATAGATACAGCTACAATAGTTATACGTTTCATTTGATTTACTTAAAATTTTCTTAAAATTAATTTAGTTTCTGTTAAGAGTACAATATTATTATCATTGCGGCAAGCATTAATGAACAATTATCCGGTACTGTATATCTGGGGAAATGTAGGATCTAGGTACATGGTACCAGATTGATAACCGGGTACTGAAATTTGATAGCCGGATCCGAATAATAATCGAGTAATGAAAATCTGGCTGGGTACCGGATAAACGGTATGCCTCTGTATTATTTACTATAACACACTAAAAATGAAGTTCCGTTTATTTTCCACGCAATTATTGTCTTTGTATTCAATCATAGAGAAGTGATGAATACATAAGAGAGATATTTTGTTCTAACTTCTATTCCTTTGTGACTGAGCAAAAACCTTGAATAAATGACCAAAGTCATTTTATCTAAAGTGTCTGTCATTTGAGACTGTCAAAACAATGCTGTTTTGTTTTAACAAAATGATATTGTTTTATGAAGCGATTACTGATTACCAAGTTAACTTTTTTTCACTGAAGTCACGATATTCAAATCCTATCTGAACAGAATTTCTATTCATCTTTATTCGTTTTGAAGAGGTTGTTATTTAAATGAATGGAGAAAAAAAAGTTTCAAATAAAATATGTTTTCCATATTCTTTTAGATCTTGTTTGGAAGATATGTTACAACCGTAATTTTGTATTTTAAAATAGAAGATATTTTTCTTATTGTTTTGAACAAATTTAATTTTTTTCCAGCTTGCGGTAGACGCTTTCTACTCTTACAATCTTAGATTTTTAGTAAAGTTTTTGATTTCCGTTTTCTTGATATTTGTGCTTTTCAAACTTTTGATGATGTAGTATTATTCATCAGCGTTATATCTTTCAAAAAAGCGGGAAATAAAAGGGTCGCTTTGCTATATTAGGAGAAAAAGCGCTGGATGACTTTCGGAACTTCTATGGAGTTTTCCTCAAAACCTTACAGCAATAAAAGCATGCGATTTATGATTTTGAGTCAGTAATTTAAAAGTGGCCATATTTAAGTTTTTAGATATTTTTAAGAAATAATTTTATTACATTTTTAACTGAGAAAAACCGATTAGGATGATACAAAAAAATTCTCATAGCGTAAATTTCAAAAATAAAAGATATTTATTAAAAATCTGAAAGCAGAAAAATGTGTAATATTTAACTATCTTTAAAAAATAACCGATTGCCGAGACTGTGCAGATAAAAATTTGTTTAAATCTGAAATACCGCACGCTTTATATCTGAAATTCTCATAGTGAGACAGCCTTGTATATTTTGCATACATCAAAAGATACTGCAATCTAGAATAAAAACCCGCCATTAGTTTATTTGTGAAAATTGAATAAAGAGGATTATAAGCGTATTTTGAATTTCCTACAGCCCAACCCAATTTTTTAAAAGTACGTAAAAAACTGTAATTCTTCCTATGTATTTACCGTGGCTTTGGTATCAGAATTGATCGGGGTTGAAAAGAGTACAGAGACTTCGGCTTGTTAAAAGTTAGGTTCGAAAGGTTGAAAAAAAAAAGGACTCCAGAATGGATATTATGGAAACTAATTCTCAGTCAAATTGGCTGAAAATTTAATATTTTGTAGTTCTAAACATACTGATCTAAAGTTCTCCATGATACGAAGTCCAAAAACTAATAGTTTCCGAGATACGAAGCCTCACACATAAATAGTATCTCCAAATTCCCTAATACGTCACGACATTAGCATTGAGCAATGTGCACCACGTGGAGGTTGTCGGATCGGATTTTGCACGCGTTATAGCCCTTAAATGAGAAGCTAACATTAGCCTGCTAAATAAGCTGCTAGCATTACTTCTTCATATCCAAAGCCAATGCTGAGCGCCAGCGCGTTTCAAGCACCTTTTACCATAGTGACCACTGCTGCCTATATCTGTTAAGTTTGAAGCTCAGTATCTCGAAAACTATCCATTCTTGGACTTAGTGTCATTGAGAAGAATTTGATCAGAATGTTTTAAACTACAACGTATTGAATTTTAAGCCAATTTGACAGAGAATTAGTTTCCATAAGATTTGTGCCAGATCCTTTGGTAGTCATATGAAAGTTATTCACAAAAATATGTGTAATTAGAATATTAATTATATATTATTCAAATGCATATAATGAAAATTATGTTATAACATACTTTCAATTTAATTCATAAAATTTGAACGTTTTTGAGTCAATATTCAATAGAGCTATTGAAAATGTGCATAAATTCCAAAAACAGAAATTTCAAAATTGAGATTTTTATGCATTTAACATTTTCGTATTATAAGCTACTTATTGCAATTGTTTTCAAAAATCAGTTTCAGCCTTCATAGCACTAGCAATGTTAAGAAAATAATTGTAAAGTCACTTTTCTCTAAATCTACAGAAGAGCACTATTGCACGGCAGTATACATCAATGCCAAAGTGGACAATTCTACATCAAATAATTATTTTTAACATATTACTCGAAACTTTTGTTATTCCAAATTCCGTTTATTACAGGTAAGATGAAAAACGATGAAAGCATGGATGATGTGAACAATGAAGTGCCACAAAATAATGTGACACTTTTAGCTTATCAGAGTTCTAAAACCAAAGAAGCCCCATTAGCCACAATGGAAGATACATCTCCACATCCACCAATTTCTATAAGTCCGCCCCCAAGAGATCCATTACTTGATGACAGTTCACACGAAGAGACCAATGAACGGGCTACTTTAAACGCAAAAAGCAATGAGGATGATATGTTAAATGTCAAAGATAGTATAAGGTATGGATTCCAATTCTCTTTATTTATGATTAATAATCTGAGTTTGACAACTAGGGAACTCTTATTAGAATTTAAAGTTAGCGTAATCGGGAAAAACAATATTTTCGAAGTAGTGGTTCGCTTTTAAACCTTGTTTTTTTATACTAGCTATAATAACGGCTTTAATAATAAATTGCAATAATAATGGCTTTAGTCAAAGTTAATGGTTTTAAGAATTTTAAATTGTTTGTATTTTTGAAAAAATGTTTCGCAATAAACTTTTTAGTACCGATTTTAATTCTCTTTAATTGGGATTAATAATCTGAGTTTCACAATACATTGCACTACACATACTAGAATTTTAAATCATTGTAATTGTGGGAAACAATATTTTGACATATTTTAGGAATGGCACAATTTTTAACCTTGTTTTTAACCTTACTTTAGCCTTGTTTAAAATTACAATAATTATACAGAAAGTTGAATTTGGGGTATTAAACTTTTTACCTGATGGCTAATATTCATTTATTTTTAAAAAGAAAACATATTTAGAAATGACTTTCTAGTTAAAGCTACTTATAAATATACCTTTTGTTTTACTTCAGTAAAATCAGTAGTCAAGAATATTTCTTTTTATTTGTTTTCCGGTTTAAATAAAATAAAATATTAAGAAAAATCTTCATTGTCCATGATTAAAAAAAATTCCAAAATAGATTTTGAATTGATTCGTTACATTAAAAAATCTGTCCTTTGTGTAAACTCTATGCAACCTGTAACTCGTATTAATCGAGGCCATATGTAAAATTGCAGTTTATTTTTGTTTACTACTTTGGCAGTATTTGTCCGCTTTGATGGACGTAAAAATCCTGTCCCTACCGTATTTAGAACCGAGTAATATGGATTTTTTAAGCGTGCTTTAAAAATTCATTTCGAAGAGAGTTGTTTCCAAGGAAACGCAATCTCTTTAAACGAAAACAATCTTGATTTAATTATGCTTTAACAATGTTTTTCCACAAGTTAATCAGATTTTTTTCTGCTTATTTTAGAATTGCGAGTATTGTTTTAACACCGAATAACTTATGCTGTAGTCAAGTCTATTAAAATAGGATTCTAACCAGTAAAATTCATAATAATCTATGGAAATAATGGATTTTACTTGACAAGAAAATAAATTTCTTGCTTTTTGACTTTTATCCTTTTTTTTCCTTTAGTTGCTAAATTTAAATTTATCAACAACCCAATATTGACAAATTCCCACCAACTAAGTGATATTTTTTTTAAAAATAATCAATTTACTTGTAATGATAAATATTTAGAAATTCAGATAGATTTCATTTACAAAAAAGCATGATTATTTAAATTCATACAACGTGTAGCTTACATTTCCTGGATTTGAAAAGAAGATGAAAAATCAAATTCAGTGGTACAAAAAATATAAGTTTAAAAAAAAATAATAATAAAAAGGAAAAACAGGGCTACTATTGCTTTTAAAGATGAGATACCACTACAGTCTCCATCTCATCTCCTGTTACTACCACAAAAAAAAATTACTGACAAAAAATCACCCACTTAAAAAATAAACTAAAGTTTTAATAGTACCACATCGTAAAACATTGCGGATCAAATTGCGTTAAAAAGTACCGGCACTTAGGATGCCAGTATATATTACCGTAAAGTTTTCTGACCAAAAAATCTGATATGCCGTACTNTTACTGTAAAATCACTGAATTACTGTAAAATCATTGAATTACTGTAAAATCACTGAATTAAATTAATATTACAGCAAACATTAGGTTAAAAATGGCTTTTACGAATGCTGCACTTAGAGAGATCAAACTTTTTACTGGAATTTTATCTGGAATTTTTTTTATCGTGCACAAGTTTGAATATCAAAATTAAGCTCATCGAATTTTTAAACTCAGTGTTAGTTTTATTTCCCAGTATGTAGAGCTCAAAAAGGTGTGAACACTTATACATATAATTTGCAACCCATTTTTCTATCAAGAGTTAATTTAGGGGCTAAACAATTCTAAAAATCTTTTTCTACCATCCATGTAAAATCCATGGGATTTCTTAGAGAAAATTTCGGACTAACTTTTCTTCTTAAAAACGTTAATATTAAGTGTCATAGTTTTAGCTCATTTACAAACTTTGAGTTATATTTTTAAAAATTTCATAAAGTAATGCTGTTTTTTAAATACTTTACTTTAAAGGTGGTTATTTCTTGAGTCCTAGTTTATAAATTGCTGCGCTAACCTAATATTATAAATTCTTACTTAAATTATCTAACCATAACTAAGATTTAAAGACAGTTTTTATGCAACTATATTCACTTTTCAAGTAAGAAAACAGTTTGCTTAAAATCAAAAACTACAGTCTCATATAATTGAGGTATTTAGGAAAATTTCAGAAAAAAGTTTTTTCTCTATGGTAACAATTTTACATCAAATTCTACATTAGCAATGTTTCCAGGTAGGCACTTACAAGTTTCCTGAATATTATAACAACAAAATACACATAAACTTCTTACTGCTTATGCATAGAAATAGTATTGTTTTTTACCAAAAAAGCTTTCCAAAGCAATTTAAAAATTTGACTTATATATTACCCCCATATTTTTATTTAATATAAATTGAAATGTTAGCTTTCAAATAAAAGCGTTTACGAAAAGTATATTTTTCTTGAAAAATCAATAAAATGCTTAATACCTTTTGTGATTTTCTCTAAGCCAGATGAGTGTACATAGACAGTAACAAACGTTAGTGTTTAGTTTTAAATTAACTTTAAAACAGTACTTCTGGCATGTCTTTCATACTAAATTAATCTGCGTACCTTATTCTTTAGTCAAAAACTGTTTTGGAAGCTTTCAGCAAAAGTTAGTGTTTAGTTTCGAGTATATCTTACTAAATAAATTTGTATGCATCATTTTTCAGCAAAAATCTCTTTGTTATAAGTTTTCAAAAAATAATTCTATATAATTTACTTCTAAGTATATTATTTATATAAGTAGTACATTATTATTTTCTCTTTTATAATTTGCCATTACTCTCCCAGATTCAGGCATGTAAAAAAAGGTTCTAACTCTTTCATAATGAACGTATAATGCAATTATTTGAGAGTGTTTTTAATTTCTCTTTTTTTCAAGCGTTAGACAGCTAAAACTTCGTAAATATTTCTTTTTTTCTAGTTTTACTTCCGCGTAGGATGTCTACTCTATGAATAAGACAACGCTTCAAAAGTGGTTCAAGGAAATTAATCAAAGAAAAAATGACAACCATTTAAGCAAAGTGTCTCTTCAAAGTATGGGAGGTTTCTATAGAAGGAAAAGAATTCACGCAAATATTTACTTTCAGTTTCTATTTTAATAGACTGGTACAAAATAAACAAGATCTTGTTTTCTCAAAAGCTTATAACTCTTATGAGCTAAAAATATAGTTCAGTCATTGAAAATTATAAAGATAATTATCACCAATGAGTCTGCCTTCTCTGAAAAGCAGCCTTTCTCTAAAATGTAGCGCATGCGCAAATTCTCAGGAGTTCTTCGCAAATCAAAACGAACTGGATTATAAAGAGTAGTAAGCACCGGACAATAAAAGAAAAGTATTTTTAGCTCAATCATTCATGAATGAAATTACAATTAAAAATGGTCTGCATTCAAATTCTTTTAATGTCCTATTATTTTAATAAATTTGTTCACCATGGTGTAAAATAATATGGGATATTTTATATTTGCTGTCTAATTAGTCTTCAATCAAGGCTACGAGCGTATAGTTAGTCCATTTCTTAGAACTAACACATACATATTCCTCTTTACTCCGAATTGGAGCATAGGACTTCTGCCATAACTTTCCATCTCACTCTATTGTGGCCAGATAATTTGCCACTCTCCATGTCTTTTCCATTGTTTTCTTATGCTCCAAGTCTTTTTAGGTCTTCCTCTTTTTCTATTGCTATGCGGGTTCCTATCAAAAACTTGTATTTTACTTTAAATTCTTCTGGTTTACATAGAACATGACCAATCCACTTACATTGCGTTTTTTAACTTCCAGATGAATCGGTTTCTGTTTTGCTTTTCTAAGGATTTCTGCATTACAAATTGTATAAGATTTAATTTCTTAGAACTAATATATCCAACATTTTTGTTTAAAACTTATGACCAGTTATGCAAACTAATAGCTCTTTAACTCTTTCCCGTACTCAGATCATGGAATATGTAATTGAAATTAGACTAGGCAGCAAAGAAGTATTTGATAAAAATTATCCTGAAGAATGCTAGGGAACATTCCAACGTCAGTAACTTATTTAAAGCAACATAAAAGTTATTTTAAGACCTTTCACTTAACAACTTTTATACAAAGCTATTTTTTGTCTATTAATTTTGCTTTATTAAATTTCAGACCAAAGCCCGTAAAAGGGACCACTCGTCTTATTAGTAGTTTATATGCTAAGCTTCTTGTTGCTGCCACGGCAATCCTAGTCACAACTGAGATATTGCCTAACAGTGTATCACTGTTTGATTATCATGTAAGTTCATTTTTTATTTTTAATTAGTAGTTATACAATTCTTTGGATTCTGTGGATTGAGACACTTTATATCATTCAAAATATATAATTTAAACTATGTTTAAATTCAAATAGTTCGCAAATTAATTACAGATATTTTTTTCCATCTTGGTTTCAATGTCAATTACAATGCAACATCATACCATTTTCATTTATACTCAACTATATGCAAATCAACTATATACAAATCAACTATATACAAATCAACTATATACAAATCAACTATATACAAATCTACTATATACAAATCAACTATATACAAATCAACTATATACAAATCAACTATATACAAATTTAAATCTTTTTCAAAGTAACTGCAAATATTTTTCCATTGTAAATTCAAAACCGATTTTCATTATCAAGTCAATATAAATTGTTATCCACTATCATACCAATTACCAAATACAAATTTAAATCTTTTTCAAAGTAATTTCAAATATTTTTTCCTTTTAAATTCAAAACTGATTTTCATTATCAAGTCAATATCAATTGTTATCCACTATCACACCAATTACCAAATACAAATTTAAATCTTTTTCAAAATAATTTTAAATATTTTTCCATTCTAAGTTCGAGATGGTTCAAATGAAAGGGAGCAAATGCTAATTTATGTTAAGCGGAATGCTTTATTTAAAAGTAGTCTTCATGAGCATTTAGACATTTATCCTGCTGACTAACGAGTCTTGCAATTCTTTTCTGATAAAACTGTTTGAGTTGATTATTCTCTTTTAAGTTATCGCAAGACATTAATCTGGTTTCTTTGAGCTGTTTTTATTTAAATTGCATAGAGACAAGTCTGAGCTTTACAGTGGATGTTACAGCAGTTCTCACTTGAACCTTGCCAACTTCTCATGCTGAGAAACCCTTTCAGTTGCAAACCAAGCTCATCATTAATGTTCATCTTTTGGAGTGTCTGTTATATCACTCAATCCTGTTCATCACAGTGTATGAGAGCATTAAAGAATTCTTATCCTGCGTGTCAATTTAAAAAGGGAAAGATGCCTGTATGCTTCGTACTATTACACCGATTTCCATTTTAAACAATTTATTAATTCAAATCATTAAAGTCATCACAAAGATTTTTTCCACTCTAAATTCAGAAATCTATCATGAAATAATTTCAGTTGAATAATTTCAGTTCAGTTAATATACTTCGTAGGGATAAATAAGGGATAATTTCGCCAATTCTTCAAAAGTTTTCCCCCGAGATAACTGCTACAAAGTTGTATTCTGTATGCGGCTTTGAATTTCTGTGATTCGTAGTGGTGGAAAAATAACTTAAAATAAAATTTAGTAAACTAAAAATAATTTAAAATTAGCTACCACTAGAAAATATGTTTTTATACAGTAGAGCAAGATGGAGCCTCTGTTAAAAAGTTGTAATTCTATTGTTGTTCATTATTTTAAGATTTGGTTATTTTCACATATTTTGTATGTTATCAAATCGACAATTCTATCATTCTTTTAAATATACTCTCCGTATAAAGTTTCTATAATAACTTCAAAATACCTATTTATATCTGTGAATAAGACATAAAAATATGACCATTATCCATATCGAAATTAGACTGGAAAAGTACAGAGCGCAAAATAACAAACAGACCATCTTAAATAACTTTTGATCTAATGATCAGATCTTCATGTTCTAGGACTCAATCCTAATGGTTCGAGGAGGTGACCTCAAATGTGCCAAATAAATAATGCAGACGATAAGTTAAACTACGAAATTAGACACAAAAATATACTTTCTCTGAATAAACATACCGTTTTATCGACGGATTCGGATTACAGACCTTCAAAATATAGGGGGTAACCGCTGTTAGTGAAATATGGCTCCAATATTTTTGTCAGGAGAGCGGTCCAAAGATTGGTCGCCTTAATGTTAATTTTTGCGTATTTCGCTACATCTCAAAAACTTTCTAAGAGAATTGAAAAATTTTAAACATAATTATAAAACTCGTTTTTCCAAAAATAATTCCATGCAAAATGCACTTATAATATTTATTTATCATTTTTTATTTTCTTTAATAACAACTGAAAAAATTTTGATTTGTATAGTACACAATATTTTACATCATTTAAAGATTGCAATTTTAAATGGCAAATTGCAAAACTCGGTTGAAGAATTCTTGAGAGAGTCGTATTCCTTAAATTCGATTTCTCTAAAACTATTTGATCGATTTCGCTCAAATTTTGTATATTGCCCTTTAAAATTGCAATATTTAAATAATGTTAAACAATTTATACCTTACTTTTAGAAATTTTTTCGACTGTTATTAAATAAAATAATAAAAAGTAATAAATATTTACTAAAAGTTTTATTTCGCATGGAATTATTTTCGGATAAACGAGTTTAATGACTGTGTGCAAAAAATTTTCAACTCGCTTATAAAGTTCTTGATATATGGTGAAATACGCAAAAAGTAAAATTAGCATTAAGGGGTCCAAACTTTTGACCCCTGTCCTGATCAAAAAACTAGGACCATATATCCCAGATTGGGGCTACCCCCTATAAGTTGGGAGTCAGAAATTCGAATCGCCTGGAAAAAAAAGGTTTGTTTATTCAGAGAAATTACATTTTTGAGTCTGATTTCGAAACTTAAAATATCGTCTGCACTTGGGCAGTTTTGCTCGGGAAGCTAAAGCTTTTATTCACATCGAGTCTTAGAACAATTTACAAAGTTTGATGGCATTGAACTTACTGTGAAAAATTGTGAAACATAATGTTTTCAAAATAGCATTTTATTGTTACAACAACGTAACTCAGTCTGATAACAAAATAAACGCCCATGCAAATATTTCAAGCGAAATGGTTTGACATACAACCGAAAATAAAACTTTGTAGTTTTTTAAGTCAGGAGTGCCATCTGTTGACAAGTTTTTTAACTAATAACTTTTAACTTTTTATCATGGTAGGAATAAATTTTCTGGTTTCCGGAGAAGAATTCAACAAACCGTATATTTTTATCTCCTTCTGTTTCACTTAAAGAAATTTTTTAAACCATCGGACATTTCTGGAATGACTAACTTTTAGGTGATTGGCCTATAATAAGTTAATTTTTATCTCATGATAAAACGATTTAGCATCTGTGGTATCAATATATATATAGTTTTAGTTTTTTTTTCCAACTTTTAACCATTTCTTTTTTCAGGGTTACCTATTCACATTCCTACTAGGCGCTGCCATTTTAAGCATTCTGTGCATTTACATGAGCCTGATATTGCAAAAATGTCCCGGTATGGAGGAACTTGAAGAATTGGACGATTCTGCCCCTGAAATGGAATCAATACTAAAAAGAAAGTCATATGCTGTACCGGATATCAGTATATTTTTCAGAGTTGGTGTTTTGGGTAAAATTCTGCTTACTATGAATTTAATACTTGAAATTTCCTTCTGTTTTGTACTAATTGAAAAGAATATTGTAAGAACATTAAACTAAGTGACGACTTAGTGAATTTTGTGAAATCGTTTTTATAATTCATAAAAACATCAAAAAACTGCTCCCAAAACATGCTTTATGATTGAAAATATCGTTACTAAAATATTCATATAAAATCAATGTTAACGCACTATAATAGTGTAGTTAAATGGAAAACACACTATAATAGTGTAAAAGAAACGCTGTTTTCTTAGCAAATTCAGTTTCTCAGTTCTCTCAGTAGCAAGTTATACCTGTATGTCTTTTTTGAAGTACATACATGTTAAGGGTAGTGAATTAGTATTAAAGGGAGGGAAAAAAATGAAAACGCTTTCGAAATTCGTTAAATTACTAGTGAGGAAGGAAGATTAAAAAATATGAAACCAAATTACTTAATGCAATTTAGTGTTTTAATAGTCACCTTTCTTCTCTCTGTTTCTCCTGACAATCAAACATGTTTTGATGCCTTTTGTCCTAGCTTCTCCTATAGTGGTTTGTTAGATCTTGATGATGATTCACATTTTTTAATATTGTTGTAATAAGAGCAGTCATTACAACACACTCTGCATAAATATTAAACTGTCGGAAAAAAGACATAACAAAAATTGATTGGCAAAAATACTTGATTGGTAATCTGGAGCTTCTTATCAAATTTTTCTAATGTATAAAGGTGCGCAAAAACTCTTTAGAAAGCATTCTATAAGTAAAATTAGACAAAATGCATTGTTTGTATGAGAATGGTTTTTCTTCTTTTAAAAACATTTTTATGCTTGAAAATTATTTACAAAAAACTGAATTCTACTTTTTTTTCAGTATTTGGTTTGGGAACACTTGTTGCCATTGGCTTAGAAACAGCCACACTATTTACTATGGAAACTCCTTGTGTAGATCAGTTGAACTTCATTCAACCAATCATTCATGCTATCTTCACTTTAATGCAAATGCATTTCTTATCTCTCAATTCGCAGGTAAGAACAAAATCTCAATTCAATACTTGTATGCTCTATCAGTTCTAACTATTATTGATATACGATGAATGATAATTATATGATCAACTTTGACACCTTTAACTACTATGTTGCTATCGTTAGATTATGTCTAGATTAACTCATATTTATATGAATAAAACGTGAAAAATGTAAGACAGTCCTGTTACCATTCATTCACTGAATGTAACCCAGCCACTTCACTTATCCTTTGCTTTATATAAAGGTCTCCATAGTTTTCACAATTCCCATTACAAGTCCCGTTACATATTCTCCGACTATCTTCTTGGTTTTCTACTTAACCTGGAGCTAATCAGTTTTGAATCAAAGACGTTTTTTTACAGCCCTATTACCATTCGTCCGATGTTATCCAGCCTCTTCACTTATCCTTCTCTTTATACAAGTGTCAACATAGTTTTTCACAAGTTGTTTCGACAAGTCCGAAAATTTTCCTTATACCTATATTAACAAAGGAGCTTACTCTGTGCAGCATTCACATCCATACAAAAGCATTAAGTTACGAGGAACCCTATGCAATAGTATTTTGCTTTTAAGTTAGATCAAAATAAATTTTTAGCAGTGTTGGTTAATAAGTTTTGTTTGCTAAACTGAAGAAAATTTTAGTGTATCTCAATACAAAATTTTTGGCAACGATTTCACATCAAATAGTGCAGTGAAAGTAGGTGTCACTGTAAGTTGGTCAGCAAAGTATAGGTAGGCACATACGTAGGTAGGCAAGTAGGTGTCAATAGTGTAGTGTCACTACACCAATGATCTTTCAGACTACTGGGTGTAAGGAAGCAGTCACCATTTTTGTTACTCATTAACACTAAAATTTATAATTACAGTAAAATAAAATACACAAAAAACTCAGTTACAATATTTTTACAATGCAATATAAAGTAAGAATCATTAATTTAAAATGAATATCTACACAAATTCTTAAAATGAAATCAGTTTACAAATCAAGCATATGCATAGCACAGAGAGAATGTTAATATGAATTCGAGCTAGGCATAGCAGAACGGAAGCAGATGGAAATTATACATTATAAAACCATTTAATTCAGTTCTTAGAAGTTTAAAAATTGAAATATCACCCTTATTACACGACAAAAACATATACATATTTTAACGACGAATTTTTGCTTCTGTTGATGAATATCAGAGTAGAGGACAACAAACTCTCGCCACCTTATTCTGGATTTCAAACTAACTCGGGCGATATTCAAAATGAGCCAACATTGGTGTTTTCGGAAGTGAAAATTCTCATATGGTGTGAATGCACGAGAATTTGGTGTAATCTTATTCGTTCTTTTCGGTTCTTTTTCGTTCTTGTTCGTTCGGTTCTTTTTTTAATAATAACATTAAAACAAAAGATTACTAATTTTTCATAAATTCAGTGGTTAATTTGTCGAAATCATAATGTACTTAGAGATTCCGAAAACATTCATTTTTTAAGAAAAAAAAACTGAATGATTGAAAGGTTGACACCTCTTTTTTATACAAGATGTTTTTTCATTACCTCTCTTAATATACATTTTTGGAATTTTTGTCAATTTCATTGATCTAAACAATTAATACAAATATCAGGTGTCGTCAAAATGACAGACGATTTGAAAAATCAATAAGAAAACATAAAGAAATACTATTTCATGTTTTGCTGTGTTCTGCTTAGGAAACCAAGCCTTTATTCTTACTAAGTTTCATACTTAGTTTCAAAGTTTTGAAATACTACTTTTTATTTCTGACAAAATACGTGTTTCAGAAATACGTGTTTGTATTTCTGACAAAATTTTAAAATGTTTTTGTCATAATCACCATGATAATGTTTTCACAATAACAATATAATAATATTTTTATAATAACCACCATTTGCATAGACAGCATGGTGCAGTTTGAGGGCATAGTTAACAGACATTTGCAGCAATATTTCTTTTGGGACGGTCTGGTATGAAGTTGAAAATGTTGTCTTATATTTTTCCCGTCAGCAGTACCATTAACAGACATTGTGACTAATTAAAACTATTGGGTAAGAATAAAAACTCTGATTTTCTTATACGGAATACAGCAAATCACAGTAATCGGTTTTTCAAATCATTGGTTACTTTCACGAGACTTGGTGTCACTGATAATTAAACTGAATATGGTTTTTTATATTAAAGCAGCAAATTTCATTTTCGTATTTTTTTCTTTTTCATAGAAAGCAATACAGTATTTAGGATGGTGTCGACATATAGTTTTGATGCAATTAGTTGCAACAAATATAGCAATATGGTTGCGGTTAATGGTTTGGGAAACAGCGAAAAGTTGGATTGATGATTCTCATGTGTCTTTAAATGCTTCTGAACAATTCCCTCCAGATGGATTTAATGTAACTGCTCATGCTTCGTTCTCAGATGGGCAACATAAGGTTTACAGTAAGTATTAGATTTATATTACTCTTATCTATCTACTCTTATTATATATGCTTATTTATTTATATGACAATTATTTATATTACTTTGCTAAAAAATGAACTTATTCTACAGCAAGAAACAAAATTGTGTTGTTAATAAAGTAACATATACAGACTATTCCATAATCATCACCCTTAATATATATACGGTGTTCTGCTTAAGCAGCCTTTAATATGTAATTTTGAAGTTTTTATCAAAAATGAAAACAAAAGAGCATACACATACACATAGATGATCGCAAACTAATATTTAAGAGATGAAAATTAAAACTGGGATAAATTACAGTAGAAGAAGGCGAATGTAATTAAGATTAAAACAGATTTAATTGGAGATAGAGATTTGAAGGTGTTTCTTATAATCATCTTTCATCACCTTTCTGTTTACTCTCTCAATCAAGTATGTTTTCTTATTTATTACATTCATCTTCCTGTACTGTAATTTGTCAGATTTTGAAAGCGTTTTAGTTTTTTCCTTGTGTAAATATTAATTTGCAACCCCCAGTGTGATACTCTTTGTTTTCATTTTAATTAGTAGTCTAAAAATAGAAATTAAGGGTGCTCTTTACGGAACACCCTACATTTTTAGTATCTTTGTAAAAATTAAATAATAAAAATATACACTTTAGGAAGTTCAAAGTAACATTAAACCAGGTTGAACATAAATGCTACCAAAATCTGATGAATTACTATTGCATAAAGTGGGGTTGAAAAGCATCAAAACCTGTTTGATTGCGTGACGAAACAATAATAATTTGTAAGGTGTTTATTAGAACACCTTCAAATTTTTATAGGCAATTAAACAGGTTTCAAATTTTTCACTCCTCCTTTCTCAGTAATGATTCAATAGAGTTTTTATACTTTCTTCACTTAAATATTAATTTGAAACCCAATTTAGTATACTGTTTTTACTTCATTTTTCACAAGGTTACTAAAAATAAAGAATACAAGCGGAAGTTACGGGGAGTAGTATCACGACATATTTTTGACTACACAGCTATAATCTGACCACAAAAAAAATCAAGTTCTGCATTCTTTAGATATTAATAGATCATTTTATGCAATTATATATTAAGTTGTTTAGATTTTGTGATTGCTTTAGTGTGGCATTATCATTATTTAACACAATTTTTGTGTTGCTTGTTGTACGTGTTGCACGTTGTACGGGATGAAACTTTTATACCAACTAATAAAATTATACTTTTTTCAGAAAATTAAATACTTTATACAGAAAATTCAAAACAAATCTTATGATAGAATAATGACAAAAGTGCAAAAAATATCTCTGTCTTTTTCATTTGAGAAAATTTCAACTGCGTAATAAAACAAGTGATTGAATAAACGTCTGAAAAATAATAAAACAATAAGAAGGAAATGGAAAAATTAATAGTGAAAACCAATAAATAAGAAAACAGAAAAGGAAAAGGAAATTGAGACAACTGATCCTGAACGATTTCCTTCACTGATACAATAAGTGCAACAATTGCAAAATATTTAATTTCTTGGTAATTGCAAATTACAATATTCTTTGAGGCATGATGTTCTCTACAATCATTTTTGTTCTTTGTTATTACAATTATTTATTAACAATTTTGTTATTACAATTTTCAATTAACAATTTTGCTATTGAAATTTTCAATTAACAATTTCGTTATTGCAATTGTTATTACAATTTTCAACTTAAATAACAATTTTTCTTTGATGCATGATGTTCTCTACAATCATTTTTGTTCTTTGTTAAAATCCACTTTTAAAATTTCAGCTGGCAAAGTGATTATATAAATTTGATGGACATCCAAAATTATTTATCACCATTTGATTACGTTTTTGTTCTCTTTTAAATATTTATTTTTGTTCCATTCATTTGTAATTTCTTCGTTTGTAGCAAAGATTCTCAAAATAGATATTTAGGGTTACCATTGTAGAACACCCTTCCATGCATATTAGTTCTTGTCTCCTTTATTTGAGGCAAGGATTCTAGAAAAATGTGTTAAGAGGCTATGGTAACAGAACAACCTTGTTTCATTTATGCCATAACTAATTAGTCATAAACATAAATAAAAATCATCTGTAAAATAAAAGTTTGTACCATAGCTACGCTTTATTTTTATTTTTTGATGTATTTTTAATTGTTTAATTACTTTGTCATTGCAAAATGAGTATTCTATTTTGGTTAATATATATTAAAAAAATATTCGAACTAATGTGCATATTGGACTGAATGTCTTTGGTTCATTTGTGATAGTTTGCTTATTGTATTTTTTATAAACTTCTGGATGTTGTTTTGCATTTTGATTATCAATGTGAGCTATTTATTTTTATGCTAAATAGTTTCATGAAAAAAATTTTAATTATCATGTAAAATATTGCATTAAATAGAGTGAAATCTGAGAAAATGATGATTAAGTATTGAATCATTCATTTCTCAAATGTCAAATGTCAATTTCTCAAATGTCTAATGTCAAATTTAAAATCTGTTTTTAAATGTGTTTCCCTTTCGATTTATAGATTTATACATATGTACTTTGCATTTTAGGTTCACCTAACTGTATATGGATGGAACATGAAGCAGAAATAGAAAGTCTTCAGCGTCTTAGACACTGTTATATGAATACAACGATTGGTATTATATGGGATAAGGCACAACCGTTTATCATCCCATTCATTGTACAATTTTGCTTAGTTGGTGCAACAGTAAATTACATTCTCTGGGACAGTTTTAGTCATAGACGAAAAAGAATTGTGAGAAAATCAACTAGTTGGTCTCCAAAACGACTAGACGTGTTAGGTTCAAGGGAAAAACTAACTCGCAAAGTCGATTTTAAGGGATCGAGCAAAGGTCTTTTTCTGGGTCTCTTAGTATTAGCAGTTGGAATAGTTGTCCTTATTTTGTTCTTTATTTTGACAAATAATGAGAATCTCAAGGACGAAACACTTTTTATAATGATAACTGTACATTGTGCTATTCTTGGCCTTTCTTTCTTAGGTATTCTTTTAGGTATCTGCCGAGTTTCGAAAATGTGTACAGACTACACCAGGCTTCAGAATTTGCATACAGTTCTGCAAAATCTGGGTGTTTTTGCTGTTTATGTACACGGTATTTGCTCTCTTGTTGTTGGATCAACCCATTTACAAAATCCTAGATATTTAGTGGTATTCGTTGATGGAATTCTCATGATTGTTCAGTCATTTGCCCAATCCATTCTCTTTCATAGAATAGGTCAAAAATGTTGCTCAGCGGAATGCAAGCACGAATCATCTAGACCTGGCCGTCAAGTTGTTACATTTCTCGCATTTACTAACCTTGTATTATGGGTAATCGAATCATTCACTGATCATAACCATGTATCCAGTCAGTTACAACTTCAGTTCTTTGGTCTCATTCCATGGGGTTTGTTATCACGCCTTCTCTTGCCAATCGTCATGTTCTATCGATTTCATTCTTCGGTTTATTTGATGGAAGCCTGGAAATCTGGCTATAGTATGGAAGACTGAACTCGAGCATTTTATCTGCATTTTTTCTCTATCTGCACAATTAGGTGGAGTCAAATCCACCCAAATGTTTCAAATATTTTTAATATAAAAATGAAGTTATGCCAAAGTCTGACATCCGTCTTGGATTTTTAATGTTTTAGCTGTAAATGTTCTCCGTATGTTGTGTATAAAAAAAGCTTTTAATATCTGTTACACACGAAGCATTCACTTTTACTTTTCATTCTCATTGTCATCGATTAGTTATTATGTATATTTTTGTAAATATTTCTATTTTATATAAAGTAGAATAACAGATTTTTGATTTTTTTCATACAGTTTCTTTTACGTCTTCTGCTCTGACTTAGTCTACTTGTGTTAAGACAAAAACTGCCAACGGAGTCTCTTTTCCATTATTTAAGTAGTTAAGATACATAATGGAATTGTTAGTTTGACTCATCACATTGCTTCATCACTCTTATCATATTCATCAATTTAATGAAATGTTTCTCGATTAAAGGATAATGTGTATTTAAATAAGAAATCTCATTTAGAAATTATGTAGACTAATGATGTAATCGAACTATTTACTTATTCTAGTTCACATTTTAAATACAATAAAAAAATATCAATAACACTATGTAGTTTGATTTATTGAAAATCATACATATACTAACACTCACAGAGCTAAGAAGCTATTTATGCAATCAAAAAATCTATTTACCAAAGATAGTAAATTTATATGTTCTCTTGCAATCATTGAATTTTGTTTACAAACTTATTTGTGGGCTCTGATTATCTTGATCTGTTAATGTGTAAACAATGCGATTTGAGTTATAAGCGCAGATACGATACCAATCACGATTAATTCAGATACAATCAATGCACTTTTCGAGGAAAAAGTATGTGCGTTACTGAACTAGACAGTTCATAGTACATGTTGTATGACCCAGCCTTAAAAAAACATGTTTTTATTAAAACTTTTATTAATTTAATTAAAAATCACTTTTCTGTATACTTTAATGAATTACTAGTGGAGGTGTAAAGCTTGTTTTGAGGTACAGTATTTGAATACTCTTTAGTAGATGGTCCTCTTGATAATTCGAGAGGTTGACTTTCAATTTAGGCAGACGATTTAATACGACGACACGCGATAATTTGAGTTATAAAATCAAACAAAAAATGTACTTTAAACATCTTTATTTCTTAACCTTGACCCTCAAAATATAGATGGTAGCCGTAATTCGAAATATGGTCACAAAAGCTTAGTCAGGAGAGTAGTCGAAAGTAACGACACCTTATAATTAATTTCGTTAGTCTCGTATATCTCGATAACTATTTAAGCAACTTAAAAACTTAACACACGATAATAAAAGTTTTTATTCCAAAAATAATACTCCACGAATATTATTATTTAAAATTATTTAGTATCGTTTATTCATGAAACGTATATGTATTATTTAATCGTATATGTTAGACAGAAAACAAAATATGAAATAAGGCATTTGTGTTTTTTTATTACTTCAAACTAAGTAATTTTAAATTCCAATAAAAATTAAAAACCGTAACTTCGATAAATTTTATTACTCAGAAACCTTAGGTTTTGTCTTTTAAAATTACGTAATTCTAAAAATTATGTAAATTTAGTTAGCTTACAGATTTATATTTTTTCGCTCATAATTAAAATAAATAATGAATAATTTTTAAAAAAATTATATTTTGCGAGAAATTATCTTTGAAGAAACAGGTTTTATAACTTGTATGCTACTTTTTTGATTAACTTTAATAGTTCCAAGGATATGATGCAATACGCATAAAGTGAAACATTAAAAGTAAATATCATCGAGATGATGTCAAATAGTACAACTCAATAAACATAAGTAAAATCAGATAAGAAATGCGAAACATAAATTTCTTGTTATAACCGAAAAAACACGACTATATAAAACTTATACCTTATTTTCTCCATACTCAAAATATACTTGAACTGCAATCTTAGCAATACGACTCTCAATTTTATATATTTTGGTCTGGATTAAATATTTTAAAAATGTTTTACAAAGATTTCAAGATAAAAATGTACAGTTTTCAAAATGAAAATTTATCACCCATTTTTTTCTTCTAAGTCATACTGGTTGAAAAAAAATGCTGCAGCTGTGAAAAAGTAAAGCTATTAGTTTGATTATATCAAATAAGGAAATCCTATAAACAAAATAAGTCAAACAAGCAAGAATAAAGGAAATTACAATTTTGCGTTATAACCAAAACTGCTGCATAGTAGACAGTTTCAATTAGAACATGTTTCTAGCAATATGTTTTGAATTAAGTATTCAAAAATCACCTAATTTAAATATATTACCGATGTTATAGTATCATCTATTCTTATGATCTTGTATGTTTTGGATAGAACTATCCTTTTCCTTTAAATGCTCCATAAAGAGTTAAATCGGTGTTCTTGGAAAAGGAAAATCTCATTCTTTAACAAGAAACCAATTTATAAATATTCCAAACTATGCAAATAAAAATGATAAAAAATTTCTCACATTGTTCACCAAATAATAACAAATAATTAGATTGTTTAAACAGCGTTAACCAAACTTTGCAAGGAAATGAAAAATAGCAATTCATATTCTGTCGGAATTTTTTTTCTTCGAATTTTCGACCCTAAAAAAACATTTTTTATTGCTGAAAATTTATATATGTTCTATCCTAAATTCTAAAATGCAAAACTTTTTTTGTCAGCAAGCAGTTTTTAGCTTGAGATAGGTGAAATAAGCGATGCCCCATCCTCAGATCTCCAGTTTTTCCTGCAATGCACCCAAGCTTAATCTTAAAATACACTGTGTTAACATATTAATTAACTCTATTGCTTTAAGATGTTTAAGAGAAATATCAGCATAAAATACTTATTAAAATTAGGTAAAAAATATTTTGGAGGATAATTTTTCAACCTTATCGTTAAAACAGCTTTACAATCAGTCTTGAGCATCAGAGCTTAATCACATTTATCAACAAACATTTAACGCTAATGAATAATACTAATGAAAGCGAAATTACAAAAAGTACAAATGATTTTGATTTCAATTCAAGGAGGGAAATCTCACTGTAAAAAATGTGGAGAAAGTGGGACTAGTTGCACCAACTCTTAGCAATATTCAGAAATACAAAAATAATCGCTGTCTTAGCGACGAATTCAATTTCAATGATGCAATTTTTCTCTTCGCCACATGTANAATGAGTTTTAAATGTTGAAAGTTTTCTGTAATTCATTAGATATTTGTCTACTAAATAACCTGGGTAACCGTTACTAAATTTAAATTTTGAGATCACAGCCAAAGGGGTAACGGTACACACATGGCATGCGACTTCGACCATACGGGTACAAAAACGCCGAACGTATGAGATGCGACGCAAACAGAGAAAGGGTTAAAACAATTTTTACTGCTTAGGACGATTGCGTACCATTTCCACCTGACTCAAAAATCCAAATATTGCACTCATTCCTGAATATGAAACCGGTTTTAAATATATATCAAGGAGTAAAAAATAATTCAAATTTCTCTAATTGTCTTCTGAAAGATATAAAGGAATCCGACTCCATCAGCAATATTAATCGAAGTTCGGAATGAACTTATAACGAATATGTGAAATAAAAATTCATGTTATGACCCTAAAAAGGGACGACTACCTCTAGCAATGGAGTGCAAAAGTGTGTAAATACCTGCAGGAAACTCCTCGATTAAATGCCCTTAAAAAGTAGTGTGTAATCACTAAGGGGAGAATGGGATATCTTATCTAACTGGAAAAACAATCACAGGAAAATTATACATTTATGAACTCAACACTGTAAGTTCATTTTTCATGTAAAAATAGGAAGAAATTATTCTATAGTAAAAAATTAATCATTCCTTACAAAATAGTCTTAATTTTATTTTCTCAAATGTTAAGAATATTTAAATTTTATAAATGATGATTTTCTTAGGTATTATTACACCCTACCCTGAGAAAAAAGAATGGTCAAAATTATCAGAATATGGTACAATTTACAGTGTTTCTGGTTCAATGGGAACTTCAAACAGCTTGGTAATTTCAAACGAAGCTCTTTGGTAATGGTTTTAGTAAAATTAACAATAAAATATGATTTTATAATATGTAATAAGATCTGGTAAATGTGGTCAAATTTGGTAATTTTACTGTGATGCCTTAGAGCATGGCATAAAAAACATTTATTCGGTAAATTTGCATTTCAGTTTTGCATTTTTTACCAAATGTGTGGCATTATAATTTTGAAAACCAGAATTTTTGGTAAACTGTTTCCATATGGACCAAAAAAAAATTACCAAATGAATGTATTAAATACCTTGTATTTTGGTTTTATTAAAGATTATTAATTAGAATAATAGTTCTTTTTACCAGAAATGTCATCACCTTACAGTACGGTAATTTTACCGAAATATATTTTTTTCTCCGTGTAAAACTTCATTCTTAAGTTTGTTTGATAATGAGATAATTTTCTTCATAAAATTATAATAATAGTAATAAATTTAAAATTTCAGTGTCATTCGATTTCTCCGATTGAATGACCCATTGATAAGATGTCTAGGGCGGCGACTGCCCCCAGAGCCCACTTCTCTGTACTCAACTGCAAGGTAGCATTCCTTGTCAGAATAATTTTTTTTTTATTAATGATCAAACTAGCGCTATTGGTTCTCGATCTCGCGTGTTTTGGATTGAATTTTGTTCACTTCTTTTTAATCAAGAATTCTAAAAAACATATTAGAAGTGTTGATTACAGAACACTCTGTATTCGTCTATATTATTGATAATACGGAAACAGTATCGAAACGTTATACGATATCGGATAAAACTGTCAAAGTAAAAATGCCGAGATAGTTCAGACAATAGAGAGCTAGTCTCCCAATGAGGTAACCCAGGTTCGAAACCCAGCGATTGCTGATTGATACGAATTGCTTACTAGACTCGCATCGACCACAGTGTTGACATAAATACTCTCAGTGGTTGGTGGATCATGGGTTGAAATCTCCTTGCCATCAGGCTAACCGTGAGAGGTTTTCGTGTTTTTCCTCTCCATGTGATGCAAATGCGGTTAGATCCATCAAAAAGTCCTTCACGAAGGCAAATTTCTCTCAATACTTGATCCAGGAGTTCTTTTGTCTTCCAGATTGGGTTCAAAATTTTAAGGCTACGTAACTGAACATTAGTAGTCGTAAACTCAAAAATTGGCTCGGCTGTTCAATTACTATTTTAAAATTATAAAATCAAAGTAAAAGCAATTCAGTGCTAAGCTAAAAAAGTTAAGGATCGGTTTAATAATTACTATTTCATTCTATGAAAAATAAATTTGATTAAAATGACCCTTTGTTAAGATTCATTTTCCTATTGTTTCTTATTCCTTTGTCTTTAGGTTCATTTAGTCTACTTAAATAGAATCTCTAATTTTTTTTTGCCTCATCCAAAATAACTTTTCCATTCGTGAAAGACGATAGGCAAATAGCATTTCCAACATTCTGTCACGACATTATAAAATTACTTAAAATTTTCCCACCTAATTATACAAAAAAGAAAAAATTAGGAAAAAAGTAGAAAAGACTTAAAAAAGAATTTTTTCAAGCAAAATTT